AATTTGTCACTTAAAAAACATTAGGTAGGCATGTTATATATCAATGGAAAGGTAATTTTGTCTATTTTTCAAAACTGTATATAATTTTTGAAAATTAAAAAATTCGCGGAATACTTTTTTTAAAAAAAATTAAAAAATGTTTTTTATTCAGTTTTTGCGAAGATACAAATTTTTCTAATTGCAATAAAAATTTTATTTATGAATATTTTTTGATGAAATTTTACAGTTAGGTAGATTTTTTTACTCAAAATCCAAAATTAAATAAAAATTTCGAATTTTCTTATTAGAAATCCCGGAATTCCCAAAAAAGTTTTAAAAAATCCCAAAAATGGGATTTTTTGGTTTTTTGCCTATTATATCCATACCAGGGGCGGGGTTATCGAAACCCGTTACAAAATGATTAAGAACTTATTGGGTCATATAAAACAGGTCACTATAATTTGATATCGACTATGCGATTTGAGAATTTTTGCTCAAAATTTAATTTTCCATAAAAAATAGGGTTTTTTTGGATGGACCTGGTCCCCTCGGTATCAAAAATTTTTAGGTTTTGTTTCATTTATCGTATTTTATGTAAAGTCAGCTTTCCAAAAAGTATAAATTCTATATACATCTTCTTAGAAACTTTTTAGATAACTTAAAAAGAAAAAGATACTTTTTTCCCAAAAAAATGACAAAAAATCGCCTTTTTTAAATTTTTTAAATTTAAATGCCTATAACTTTGGACTCAGTCATGATTTTTACATAATTCTTTCACTGCTTGGTATATAAACTTGTTGTTAAGCAAATAAAAAAAAATGGCGAAAATCGGAAATATTTGGACCTGCTATTATCAAAAAAACTAAAGTAAGGACGGTAAAAATTTTAAAATTTTAATATTCAAATGCGAATATCTCCTAAACTATAAGAGATAATTTACTGCTACGACGACATTTTTTATAGTGCTCGATGAGGAGATTCTATATACGAAATTTTTTTTAAATCGGAACTCAAATGAAGAAATAGGATCGTTTTAAAAATTTAACATAGCCGAGGTGTCCTAATTTGAGGACCCCCCGCCGGGCCCCTGGTTGGCCTATAAGGTCCAAATTCAAAACCTAAACTCGACAACACCTCCTCTTTGTGCATACCAAATTTCATTAAAATCGGATTAACCGTTTAGAAGTTACCGAATTATTTCCCTCTTTTTTTTTTCCTATACCACTGTGCATTGTATGTATGTATATTTATATAGAGAAAGGGAGTGTGAATATATTTTATTTCATAAATATATAATATTAAAAAAAAAGCCCTATGGCAATGTACTTATATTGCCAAAAGAAATTTTAACATTTCACCTTAATAATAAATAGCAGTATGGTTTATTCTCATCATTCATCCCTACCTCAGCAACAACAGAAAACCTCCTCCATATATATTTTACCACTAAACCACAACCTCTGCTATAGTTTAAGTAATACATATATTAACTATAATATAGTATACAACTATACCAACAGTTCAAAAAGGGGACAATGATTAAGTTTTAGACAATATCTTTCTCAAAGTTTAAGGTACATCACTAGTTTATTTGGGAACACTTACGTAACGATTGCCTCTGCTTTAAAAATATAATATAAATGTAGAAGGAGTTATGTTAACTTAGTCAGAAAGTCAAGCGCCACTTTAACATTCCTAAGTAAACTATAGAGTAGAAACTTTATAACTTTTTCGTCTGTACTGTACCTTAGGTAGTAGTTATTTAAGCCTTCAGACTTAATGTATATCAGAGTTACTCATGTTGGAATGAACAGCCTCCCAAAACTGCAGGAATATATTTGTAAATTTGTATGCCTATAAGTATTATGTATATTTATGTAATGTTACACATGTATTATCGTTGGTTTAACTATCCATGTATGTATGTTGTTATATGAATGTTTGTAGATTGTCATATAATATGCACATTTAAATGAGCCTATATATGAGCTACTCGTCATTATCAGTGTAATTAACATAAATATTACTTTTACTTTCAACTCATAGTTGTTATATGAGAAAGTACTTATGTATGTGTATATACATTTTCCACTATGCAAGGATATTTTAAGGATTCTCTTTTTTTAATTTGATAAATTCTCTGTGTTATATTATCTTAACTTCCTCTTTTAATTTAAGCTTAATTACTTTACTCTAGAGAGTTTTGTTACATTAAGGTAAGATTTATAGAATAGACTTTTTTTAAATTTCAACCTTTAAATTTGTAGGAGAGAAAATTTTAATGAAATTAACATAACTTATGGGAAATGTATTTAATTAACTAGAAAGTGTTATTGCTTAATTAAAACATTAACAATAAAGGTTATAACACTAGTAAAACATATAATTCAGAAAATACTAACAGAATATTGAAATTTGTAATGAAATTTTAAACTAAGATTTTCCATTTCATAAACATTGTTTCATTAAATCAGTAGCACTATCTACATACATATCTATAAATGCCTATATATTGTGATCTAAAAATTGAAAATTTATTAGAAATTTCCAATTAATTGAGAATATATGAAAAATTTTTTTCCAAATTGAGAATTTATTTAAAATTTTCTTACAAATTGTAAAGTATATCGCAAATTTTCTATACATCAAAAATTTTCTAGAAATTAAGAATTTATCAAAAATTTCCTACAAATTGAAAATGTATCAAACAATTAATACAAATAGAAAATTTATTAAATTTTCTCCAAAATTGAAAATTTATCGAAAATATACTTAAAATAGAAAATTTTTCACAAATTTTCAGTAAATTGAAAAATTATCTCAAATCTTTTATAAATTGAGAATTAATCGCAAATTTTATATAATTTAAGATTATATTAAAAATTTTCTATAAAACGATAATTTATCGACATTTTTCTTTAGATTGAGAATTTATTGTAAATTTTCTTTAAATTGAGAATTTATCGAAAAATTTGTATAAATTCTCTATAAATAAATTTTATTAAAAATTCTCTATAAATAGAGAATTTATTGAAAATTCTCTATAAATAGAGAATTTATTGAAAATTCTCTATAAATAGAGAATTTATTGAAAATTCTCTATAAATAGAGAATTTATCGAAATTTCTTTATAAAGAGAGGTTTTATCGAAATTTTCTATAAATAGAGAACTAATCGAAATTTTTCTATAAATGGAGAATTTATTGAAATTTCCCTATAAATGGAGAATTAATAAAAATTTTTCTATAAATACAGAATTTATGGAAATTTCTCTATAACTAGAGAATTTATTGAAATTTTTCTATGAATAGAAAATTTATTGAAATTTCTTTACTAATAGAAGATTTATCGAAATTTTTCTTTAAATATAAATAGAGAAATTAACGAAATAAATAAAATAAAATTATCGAAAATTCTCCATAAATAGAAAGTTTATCGAAATTTCTCTATAAATAAAAAATGTATCGAAAATTCTCGATAAGTAGAGAATTTATTAAAAAATGTCTATAAATTGAGAACTTTTTCTATAAAGCGATCATTTATTAAATATTTTCTATAAATTGGGATCATATTGAAAAATTTCTACAAATCGAAAATTTTACAAAAATTTTCTATAATCAAAATTTTTTATAAAAATAAAATTTATTGAAAAATTGTTAAGTCTTGCAAATTGAAGAAAATTTCATTTTTCTTCATTATAAATCTCCGCTAAACAACGAATAAAGATTTATTAATAGTTTTTAAATTTTCAACAATATTTAGTAATTTATTAAAAAAAAAGTACAATAAAGAAAAACTGATGTCACTGTTTTTCTAGTTGTATGTTAAGTACCTTTGTGAACGATTAATTAATAGAGTGACAACTGAATTTCTAGACTAAATAGTGCGTTAAAAGTAAACTAACCAATTCAAAAATTAGGCATTTCTAAGTAAACATTAGAGAAGTATAATTTGTCAAATCGATTAACTCCACAAAATATGTATGTTTAAATTTTAATATTAAATAACTACGAAACCCCAATTGTTAAAATTACAAATAAATTTGCATAAAAAAGTACAACCATCTGTTTTCTATGGAATTAATCAATTTACCTTCTAAGGTCTTCATTATACTTATAAAAGTGCATTTCAACACAACTGCTTTCAAAATATAAACTAAAAGTGTATAAAAACTACAGTGCAATAAACTAAGCCAAAACTATATGAAACAAAACAATAAAAACAAAACGAAATAACAAAGAGTGTGTGAAGGATTTAATATGATAAAACCATAATGATTAACAAACATTTACCAAAGCGAAATTCCTTGTTGCGTCTATTATATCCTGAACCCATGCCACCAGCATGTGAAGATTTGACACGTAATATACGCGGTTGGGCCAAGCGTTTAATACGTTTTAATAAATTACTAACGTATGCAATATTACTACTCTCATTATTATTATTATCGCTGTTGTTATTGCTATTGTCCTTATTATAGTTGTTCGTATTATTATTATTAGCAACAACAGCAGCAACAAATCCCTAATTGTGCCACTAGAAGAAGATGTTGTTGTAGGGTGGAATGTAAATGCGGCTGAAGATAATAATGATGATGATAATGGTGACGTTGTTGGTGATAATAATAATGATGTTTTAGCATTTGCATACAACACCGCAGAATGTTTGTTAAATTTATGAGATTTTGCTGTTGGTTCTGTTGCCGTTATAATGAAACGTTTAATGTTTTTTTGCGGTTTTTTTTTGTTTGTAATTAGTAGCGGATATATGAAGATTATTAGTAGTATTATTATCCAGACCATTATTGTTATACAGATACAATATGTTTTGTAGTTAAGCATTTTTTGGTGTTTTTTGAAATTCAAATTAATATTGGAATAGAATAGAGAATGTTGGTAAATGAGTATGTTAATACGATAATACATTATTAAAAGCGGTTAAAATGTAATATATAAGCGAAATACATACATATTTAAAGATATTATGTGGTAAATATAGAAATTAAGTTAAGTTCCACTTACTTTTTACCCTCAACCAGGTGTAGGCTGATTTCTCACCAGCCTCATTAACAGCTAAACACTGAAACATTGCTGAATCATCGATTGCAAGTCGTTTTATGTGTAGAGAATTATCATCTGATAGGGAAAATCTGAAAAATATTATGTAATAAATTAATAATGAAGAATTTTAAAATAATTAACTTTTTTTAAATATCTATTAGGTATTAAGCGATTTGTTACTTATTTGTGTATTTGCTCTTTTAAGTCTCTGATATTTGGTATAAACTATACAAAAACTCTTGCAAATAACTCTATACTCACTTATCATGTTGATAATCGATGGGTTCAGCATTTCGAAACCACGTCACCGATGGTTGTGGATCACCAATAACATCACAGGGGAGCGTTACCAATGCACCTAAATCACCAAATGTTTCCTGTCGCATTTGGGTGAAAAATGAAGGTGGCTCTAAGATTTCAATATTTGCCTTTGCCGTTAATATCTTATAACCACCGCTACGTAAACGCACTTGACATGAGTATTCACCGGAATGCGTTAGATTGACTGACAATAAGGCCAACGAACGATTCCATGGATCATTGAGTGTATGGGCAATTTCAGCATTTTCAATTGGTATGCCATCTTTAAACCATAACGTTTCCAATTCATGCAATGGTCGTGCATTTGCAATGCATTGCAATTCAGCAACTTGTTCGCCACGTTTCAATTTCATATCCTGCGGATGTACAATAATTTCCGGTGGCACCTCAATATATGGATCACCACTGACATTCAAGTGTATGAAGGCACTGTTCTCCTCCTTGCCCAATTGGGTGTTTATGGCACGTGCACGATATGCCCGGCGATCAACTTCATCGGTGCTGAGTATTATCAATTGATTGGCTTTTGTGAAGGCATATTTAATGTCATAATTTAAGGGACCCTCAACCGTTTGCCACATCACCGATGGTACTGGTGTTGAGTCGATGGCAGGCAAATCAAATATGGCAGGATGGCCAGAAACTACTGTTAAACGGCCTTCTGTTATATTATTAAATGTACCCATATCTGCAACAATAAAAGGGATAAAATTGAAATTGTTCTCATACAAAATAAACAAACAACAACAAAAAAAATGCTATACATAAATTAAGAAATTATAGGCATTTATTATTTGAGTTGTAACAATTGGTGGCCCAGTAACATTCATTCATTCGTTGTTCCCTTATACAATTTATTTATTTATTCATTTCTGTACATTTGTAACAGAAAAATTCTTTTTTACTTTTTATTGCCTTTATACGTTTTTTTTTGTGCTTTGTAAAGTCATGTTTAAGCAAATAATATTTATAAACCATACAAGAGTAGTCAGTCAACAAGTCCAACGCCTGTCCCAACAACGTCGACTTACCCACCAACGAAATCAACCCATTATTTAAGGTTTTATGTTGAGTGAGTGTATGATGGAGTTTTTTTTTTTTTTATAATCTTGGAAATGCCTACACTCACGCAATGTTGTTTATGTAACGTTCACAAACTTTTCAAAGTTTTAAAGAATTATATCTTTAGGGAAAGAAGAACCAATTAATTAAATAAAATTTTTCGAATATAAAGAATGTAGTATATACATATGTACTACAGTCTAGACTATATGAATATATTAATCCAGACAATATAATAGACTTTAGTTCAGACAACATAATAGACTATAGTCCTAAACATAGAATATACCATTGAATATAAATATTAAGTCCATACCATGGCATAGTCCAGACTATAAAATAGACTATAGTTCGGACTATCGTCCAGACTATTTGATATACTCTAGTCTATACTATAGAATAAAATATAGTCTAGACTTTAGTCAATAGAATAGAATACAGTCCAGACTATATAATAGATTATAGTCCAGACTATACTATGGTCTATAGTCCAGACCAGTATATACTTTAGTTCAGATTATAAAATATACTATAGTCCAGACTTTTAAATAGACTATAGACCAGGCTATAATATATACTCTAGTCCAGATTATAGAATATACTATAATCCACACTATAGTATATACTCTATAGTCAAGAACATGCTATGTTTTAGACTATAGAATAGTTCATAGTCAAGACTGTGAAATAAACTAAAGTCCGGAGTATAGAATATATATTAGTTTACACTATTGGATGGTCTAAACCTAGCTTTAAAATTGGTATAGGAACGATCTGATACTAGTCTAAAGAATGCACTACTTTTAATTTCTGACTCAACCTCAAAGACTTTGCAAGAGTTGAAACACTCATACTTTATGAAAAAAGAAAAAAAAACCTAGTCGGACATACCCGACCCTACGATGGGGTTATTTAAAATTTTTTTGGTAGTGATATGAATTTGAGTATATAGTTCCTAGGGCCAGCTTTGTATAGAATGTAATACAATTATTTTTTTTAATCAATCATATTTTCCTCATATTCATATAGATTCAAACGGTCTGGTTTTTACCAAATTTTTTAATATAAGTGTTCAAACATTATTCCGGATAATATTTTGTATGGGTGTTAGGTAAAATTATGGACCAAATTCTAGGATTAATTTCAAGATATGTATATGACTCAATTCGCTCACAAAATATTTCTAAGCCGATTTTTATACTATTTTTAAAATAGTACAAACTTCAAGGCAAAAGCATTATATCTTCTCCACTATAGTGGTGTAGGGTAGCGCTTGAAAAAAAAAGAACAAACTCACAAATACATTATTCTTACATTTAAACAAATACAAACAAACTATTATTAGTATTTTATATACAACAATCATCGTTGTGTTTGTTGTTTATTGTATGGAGCAGAGTATGACATGGACAAGTGTACTAATTAATTTAAGTAACTGCCACTTAATTGTTAATCGTCGAAGTTGTAGTCAGTCATTTAAGACGTTTATATCTCATTGCACGACCTCTTTATTCACACAAACATATATTTTCCTCTCATTCTTTTCTCTTTTCATTTACTTATTTATTGTAATTTGTTGTAGGTTAAAGTTTTAGCTTTATATTGTTGTTCTTCTTTTATTTAGGCTTTTTTAAATTAAAAGACATTCCGTTGTTTAAATTAAATAAAGAAAAACCATGGGTAGTCTGTGTTGTCTGCCTTAAATGTCAGTGTACATATATTATTATTTGTTTATTTTTTTCGCTTTCATTGCACTGCCAGAGGAAAATTGTTTAATTAAGTGACACTTAATAAATGTCACAAATTATATTATGTACCAAATGTTGCCTTGAGGCGGAGGGAAGTTTTATGAGAAAATTTGAAGAAAAATGTATATTATAAAGAATGAAAATTTATGGGTATGAGGATGAAAAAGTGCGTTTTTATACTTGACTTTACACCCCCCCTGTACTTGTATGTATTAAGCCCAAGTTGCAATTAAAATATTCAAAAGTGTGTTAGTTCACACGTTCGTTTTTATAGGTTTGCAAGAATTTAAAATTTTTTTTTTATGCGGATGATATAAATAATAATAATAAGTGAAAGTAAGTAAGTAAGTAAGTAAGTAGTAAGTAAGTAAGTAAGTAAGTAAGTAAGTAAGTAAGTTAAGTAAGTAAGTAGTAAGTAAGTAAGTAAGTAAGTAAGTAAGTAAGTAAGTAAGTAAGTAAGTAGTAAGTACGTAAGTAAGTAAGTAAGTAAGTAAGTAAGTAAGGTAAGTAAGTAAGTAAGTAAGTAAGTAAGTAAGTAAGTAAGTAAGTAAGTAAGTAAGTAAGTAAGTAAGTAAGTAGTAAGTAAGTAAGTAAGTAAGTAAGTAAGTAAGTAAGTAAGTAAGTAAGTAAGTAAGTAAGTAAGTAAGTAAGTAAGTAAGTAAGTAAGTAAGTAAGTAAGTAAGTAAGTAGTAAGTAAGTAAGTAAGTAAGTAAGTAAGTAAGTAAGTAAGTAAGTAAGTAAGTAAGTAAGTAAGTAAGTAAGTAAGTAAGTAAGTAAGTAAGTAAGTAAGTAAGTAAGTAAGTAAGTAAGTAAGTAAGTAAGTAAGTAAGTAAGTAAGTAAGTAAGTAAGTAAGTAAGTAAGTAAGTAGTAAGTAAGTAAGTAAGTAAGTAAGTAAGTAAGTAAGTAAGTAAGTAAGTAAGTAAGTAAGTAAGTAAGTAAGTAAGTAAGTAAGTAAGTAAGTAAGTAAGTAAGTAAGTAAGTAAGTAAGTAAGTAAGTAAGTAAGTAAGTAAGTAAGTAAGTAAGTAAGTAAGTAAGTAAGTAAGTAAGTAAGTAAGTAAGTAAGTAAGTAAGTAAGTAAGTAAGTAAGTAAGTAAGTAAGTAAGTAAGTAAGTAAGTAAGTAAGTAAGTAAGTAAGTAAGTAAGTAAGTAAGTAAGTAAGTAAGTAAGTAAGTAAGTAAGTAAGTAAGTAAGTAAGTAAGTAAGTAAGTAAGTAAGTAAGTAAGTAAGTAAGTAAGTAAGTAAGTAAGTAAGTAAGTAAGTAAGTAAGTAAGTAAGTAAGTAAGTAAGTAAGTAAGTAAGTAAGTAAGTAAGTAATAAGTAAGTAAGTAAGTAAGTAAGTAAGTAAGTAAGTAAGTAAGTAAGTAAGTAAGTAAGTAAGTAAGTAAGTAAGTAAGTAAGTAAGTAAGTAAGTAAGTAAGTAAGTAAGTAAGTAAGTAAGTAAGTAAGTAAGTAAGTAAGTAAGTAAGTAAGTAAGTAAGTAAGTAAGTAAGTAAGTAAGTAAGTAAGTAAGTAAGTAGTAAGTAAGTAAGTAAGTAAGTAGTAAGTAAGTAAGTAAGTAGTAAGTAAGTAAGTAAGTAAGTAAGTAAGTAAGTAAGTAAGTAAGTAAGTAAGTAAGTAAGTAAGTAAGTAAGTAAGTAGTAAGTAAGTAAGTAAGTAAGTAAGTAAGTAAGTAAGTAAGTAAGTAAGTAAGTAAGTAAGTAAGTAAGTAAGTAAGTAAGTAAGTAAGTAAGTAAGTAAGTAAGTAAGTAAGTAAGTAAGTAAGTAAGTAAGTAAGTAAGTAAGTAAGTAAGTAAGTAAGTAAGTAAGTAAGTAAGTAAGTAAGTAAGTAAGTAAGTAAGTAAGTAAGTAAGTATGTAAGTAAGAAAGTAAGTAAGTAAGTAAGTAGGTAAGTATAATTAATTTTAATAAAAATTCGATATTCGGTCAAACAACAAATATCATCCAAAATCCGGCTTTGCTTCTTTAGATATTTTTAAAATATCCACTAATCCTTGAACTTTATTCCACCAATCAATCACCAATTCACATTTTCCCCAATATTTATAAATATTTATATGATGCATATTTTTAAACGTATGAATTTTAAAAATAACAACAATAATCAACAACATCTAGTTGCGAACAACAACCACAACACTATCATCTTCTTCAATACTTACGGGCAACGACAACATCAATTTTTTCACTAAATATTGAGCCGGCATCATTTTTAGCAATGCATTTATAACTGCCGGCATCCTCCCGCTGTGTATTCAATATACGTAGATATTGACTGGATGAAAAATCACCAACGGGTAAACCATTCTTTAACCAGCGATATTGAGGTTGTGGATAACCTGCAAAAAGAAAACGAAATATTATTAAATATAAATAAAGAAAAGTACAAAAATAGATATAAAAAATTAAATGAAGAATATTTGAGTAAAGGAGGATGTAGATATATTGCAAAACCATAGTATAGTTTCAGGGACTTAGTAAAAAGTTTATGTTGGTAAATAAGAAGTCACTGGACTCTAATACCAGTAACAATAACTAACGTTAGTTAGACAGTTTGTAAGTGTTTTTTTTTTCAGTTGTTATTCTTTTACTTTTATATTTTTTTACAATTGATGTGGCAACAATATGTGAACTATAATACATCTCTTACTTTGCTACTTTCTTTTTTTTTCTACATGATATTTCCATTGAATAGAATTTCAATTCAAAATATTTATGTTTATACATACGATTTAGAGGAAATCGAACTGTGTGCTATATTTTTTTTTGCAAAAAGTAAACAAAACATCTGCAATAATTTTAGCAAAACGTGTATGTGCATTTTTTAAATAAAACTGTTTAAGTTCAGTTGTTTGTTTATGTTTCAATATAGAGAGAATAACATTTATATCCGGAAGGTAGAATAGAAAAAAAATCTATGGCATGTATTTATTGAATTTATTAGACATTAGGCTGTTGTTTACTTGTTTGCGCTGTTTTATTTTGAGTTTTTTAAATAATCTCTCTCCTATTGTAATCCACACAAATTATGCTTAAAAACCAATGTGAATTATTTTGTTTCGATGGCAGATACAAAGTGTTGAAAAAAAGATAATAATTTATTTATTTGTTTGATAATACTACTTTATTGTGGAAAATATTTTAAGTAATTTATTTGCCAAATTGTGTTTGCAGAATTAAAACATACGATTATGTTTCTACTTTGCAATAAATCACTAAGAGAATCGTATCTTTATTATAAAGAATTTTTGATTATATAAAAATAAATTCTGGCTTTTAAGAGAATTTTTAAAGATTTTTTGACATATTTTCTTTTTAAGGAAATTTTTCAATACATGTTTGTTTATTAAGAAAACTTTATACAAAACTTTTCATAAATTTTCCTGTTATAGAAAAAATTTTTTGATTATTTATTTATAGAAACTTTCAGATAAATTCTTAATTTAAAGGGAGTTTTCAACGAATTTTTTCCTAAAAAACTTTTGATACATTTTCTCTTTATGAAAATTTTTTCATAAATTTTCTTTTTGTAGGAAGTTTTTGTTAAAATTTCTTTTCAAAGAAAATTTTCATAATATTTTCTTCTTTATAGAAAATTTTTTATTAATGTTTTGTATAGAAAATGTTCGATTTTGATTTGAATGAATTTTTTCTTGTATAGAAAATTTTCGAAAATTTTTCTTTCGAAATTTTCGTTTTTTTAGAAGAAACATTTACATTAATTTTTTTTGTATAGAAAATTTTCGTTTAATTTTTCTTTATAGAACATTTTGATAAATTTCTTTTTTTTTATAGAAAATTTTCAATAAATTTTTCTTTTTATAGAAAATTTTAGATTTTTTTTATAGAAAATTTATATTAATTTATTTTTGTATAGAAAATTTTCGATAAATTTTCTTTTTAATTGAAAATTTTCAGTTAATTTTCTTTTTTATAGAAAATTTTCTATAAATTTTCCTTTTTATAAAAAATTTATATAAATATTTCTTTTTATAGAAAAATTTCTTTTTTATAAAAAAATTTGCATTAAATTTTCTTTTTTATAAAAAATTTGCATTAAATTTTCTTTTTATAGAAAATATTTGGATAAATTTTACTTTCCTATAAATACTATAAATTTTTCTTTTTATAAAAAATGTTCGATTAATTTTCCTTCATAAAAAATTTAGATTAATTTTCTTTTTTATAGAAAATTTGCACTAAAATTTATTTTTTATAGAAAATTTCCGTTTAATTTTCTTTTTTTTTTTTAGAAAATTTTCGTTTAATTTTCTTTTGAATAGAAAATTTTCGTTTAATTTTCTTTTGAATAGAAAATCTTCATTTAATTTTCTTTGGAATAGAAGTTTTACTTTTTATATAAAATTTGCATTAAATTTTCTTTTTTAACGAAAATTTTCACTTTGTAGAAAAAAAAATACGATAAGTATTCTTTTTGTAGAAATTTTTGAAAAATTCACTTAAGATTTAAAGAAAATTTTAAAAAAATACTCTTTATAGATAAAATTTCAAATTAACTGCTATTGCCATAAACAAACTTGTAATTTAATTTCATGACTACTTTTCTTCTTTTGCTGATAAAACAATTTTTAATGAAATTTAGTTGGCATCTATTTAAAATGAATATTTACATACAAAATCTATTAAAATCAGTTTTCAGTCAGGAAATTCTTGGAAAACGAAAAAATGCTCTTACTTTTTATAGTTTTAACAATTTACCACAAACTAACATCTATTTGACATTTATAACAACAGTGGGTTTTGATTTTTTTTCCTTAAAAAATAAAAAAACTGAAATCTAAATTATATGTAAATGTTCCTCAATGAAATGAAGAAGGTCTGTCTCTTATGACCTCGGCCACACAAACAACCACACAGTGTATAAAATAAAATAATGAAGAGAGTGAGAAAAAAGGATATACAATAGAAAACATATAAACTACAAACAAAATATTTCGTTTTTTTTTTTTTTGTGGATTATAGCAAGAGGAGGAAAATAATGGCTAAAAAATCTAGTATTTATACATAAAGTTGGTAGTAAAATTCATTTTCATTCATTCATTCAAAAATACAAATTTTTAATAATAAAAAACTAAGTGTGGGTATGTAAAACTTTGCCAATGTTCGTTTACATATATTTTTAAATGAGATCCTTTTTCTAAAGAGTTGTTGCAGCTCACATATCCTGTCATTTTGTCTATATAGAGACTATTACTCTCCGTGGGTGTTAATACCAGTTACTAACAGTTTTGTTTACTATGCTGTTGTTGTAGTTTTTGAAAAACTTTTTTTTGTATTTTTCTAAACAACATTCTAAACCAAGTTGGTTGTATAGTGAATCCTATCAGCCCGGGCCAAATCACACAGATTTATATATGCCTACATTCAAGAGAAATGGTTTGTATGACTGTTTTGTTTTCTTGTCTTTTATAAAAGTTGAGTTTTTTTTTCTCACAATTTTTTTTAAATAAATGTATGTATATTTTACATTGACAATTGTCTGGCTGGTCAGGCATTCAAATACAGGCAACACTTTTGCAAATTGTGTGCCAAATCAACAGTAATACAGGAAAAGCTTTTTTTTATATACATACATATTTTCCCTTAAAAACTACACATGAAGCAAAAAAAAAAAAATGTTAATAGGAAAAAAACTGAACAAATTCTAAATAGAAAACGATAGTATAATAGTTTATCCGGCTTTTCATAAGATATATAGTAGAGTAGTAGTAGTGTGCCATGGCATTATACTACTATTTCAATAAACATCTGCATATTCATTCACAAATATTTGTGTACGATGGTGGATATATAATTAAGTGAATATTTTTACAATAAATTTCCTTTTTATAGGAAATTTTTTAAAACTTTTCGTTTCTTTTTTATTAGGATTATTTTTTATAGAGAATTTTCGATAAATTCTCTTTTTAAGAGAATTTTCAATAGATTCTCTTTTTATAGAAAATTTTTGATAAAATTTCTCTTTTTAGAGAATTTTCGAAAATTCACTTTTTATAGAAAATATACAATAAATTTTAATTTTACTCAAAATTTACGATAAGTTTTCTTTTTATAGAAAATTTACAATAAATTGGAATATTCGATAAATTTTATTTTTATCAGAAAATTTTCTATAAATTTTCTTTTATATGGAATATTTTCTTTTTTATAGACAATTTTCGATACACTTTCTTTTTTATAGAATATTTGCGATAAATTTAATATTTTAAAGAAAATATTCGATACATTTTCTTCTTTAATAGAAAATATTCGATAAATTTTCTTTTTTATAGAAAATTTTCAATAAAATTTCTTTTTTATAGAAAATTTTTAATAAATTTTCTTTTTTATAGAAAATTTTCAATAAATTTTCTTTTTTATAGAAAATTTTCAATAAATTTTCTTTTTTATAGAAAATTTTCAATAAATTTTCTTTTTTATAGAAAATTTTCAATAAATTTTCTTTTTTATGGAAAATTTCCGAAAATTTCTTTTTTATAGAATTCGATAAATTTTCTTTTTTCTAGAAAATTTTCCATAGATTTTTTTTATTATAGAAAATTTTCGATAAATTTTCTTTTTTTATAGAATTTGATAAATTTTCTTTTTTCTAGAAAATTTTCCATAGATTTTCTTTTTTATAGAAAATTTTTGATATATTTTCTTTTTTATAGAAAATTTTCGATATATTTTCTTTTTTATAGAAAATTTTCTTTTTAATAGAAAATTTTCCATAAATTTTTCTTTTTATAGAAAATTTACGATTATTTTTATTTCTATAAAAAATTTACGATAATTTTTTTTAGAAATTTTTCGATAATTTTTCTTTTTATAGAAAAGTTACAATAATTTCCCTTTTTTAGAAAAAACAATTTTCCTTTTAAAATAAAATTTACGATTAGTTTTCTTTTTTAAAGAAAATTTTTAATCGATTTTCCATAATTTTTTTTATAGCAAATTTTCGATAAACTTTATTTTTTTATAGAAAATTTTCGGTAAATTTAATTTTTTTATTGAAAATTTTCGATACATTTTTTTATAGAAAATATTCGATACATTTTTTATAGAAAATATTCTATAATTTTTTTATAGAAAATATTCAATAAATTTTCTTTTTCATAGAAAATATTCGATACATTTTCTTCTTTTATAGAAAAATTTCAACAAATATTCTGCTTTTATAGGAAATGTTCTATAAATTAAATTTATTATTAAAATTTTCAATAAATCCTCTTTTTTGTAAAAAAAATATTGAACAATTTTTGATTAATTCTGTTTTAGATAATTGTCGATAAAT